TCATTCACTAGTTTATATTATTACATTCTATTGTTTTATCACAGTTAACTCCAAATGTTGTTCATAATTATATAAGATGATCTATAAAATTAGCACAGAGAAGGTAAAAAACCCGTCTAATTTTTCTTTCATTCTATAGTCATATCGAATTTGTAAAGGACTAAAAATGTCCTAGTTTACATCACTAAGGAGCAATAGATCTGCCTTAAAATTATGACTTGACTGGACTATCACACGATTGAAGAGTTAGCATCACATGTGCGCACAATGGTTAAACTCTCTCCCAAGGCTGCCTCCACAAAAAAACTTCTGGAAGGCTTGTTGGAGGTGTAAATTTACATACTCTGATTTCCATACCTGTAACCAGATACTATATGGTGGTATGTAAATTTAAATTATTTGAAGTTTACACCACAGTTGTGATGGAATGTAGCCCGCATTATTAGTTGAAACATGATGGAAAAATGTAAATGGTGCATAATTCATTACACCAAATGTTTTATCTCACTGTGTTGTCAACTGATTTGTGGACCATGTGGTATATTATTTTTTTGTAGTTTGTCTTCTGAATACAGATTGGTTTAAATATTGGAAGCAATAAATTTTCCCCCCAAGCTTCCATTTGAATATAGCAGTTGCATTTTCCACAGCTCATGAGATTGGTTTAAACCAGTTTGTATCATAAGAGGGAAAAAGCTAAAAAGAATAGAAACTCAGTTCAATGATAGAAAGTATGTAAGAAGAATAGAAGGGAAAAAGCTAAAACCAGTTTGTATTTAAGAAGCATTGTGTTAACTTGGATCAATCTATATATATATATATGTATAATCTGTATCTGTATATATATATATGTATAATCTGTATCTGTATAACTTGGATCAATCTATATATATATATATGTATATATGTATAATGTGTATCTGTTATCTTGCTGTTATAGTTTGATATATATATATATATATATATGTATATATGTATATTAGAATGAGAAATATAATCCTGATCTTCAATCCTTTTTTAACTTTTTCTTTCCCTTCTTTTCATTTAAATTTGAGTGAAAATTTGATTAAATGAATCCGTACTCTTTTTAAAATGAATTCGAGTAATAATATTGAGTGTTAGACAGAATTGGTTGAGGATTAGACGTGCTCTTAATCGTGGCTAGTCATTGTTTGTTGATTTTAATGGAGTGAATTGGTTGTGGCAGTATGTGATTCTTAATTTTTGATGGAGAAATATAACTGTTAATTAGGTGTGGAAAATCGTTGCTTGTTGAGTACCCGTGTGTGGATTACAATTTAGCAACTAGTTGTTGGTTGTTCCTCATAGAACAAATCAAATGACATACAGACTAGAATGTTAAAAAAGCTTCACTTCTTTATTACTAGCAATGTTTTTTCATGCAGCACATAATAGAAATAGTTAGTGATAGCATCCACAAAAACATTGACTGTAAAGTATTTTGTGATTTATAAATGAAACTTCAGATCATGACTCTATGAGGATTTATTGTGGACAGAATTCAGAACCATCTGTGATGTTTCTAGTGAATGTTTCGGTATTATACAACAATTTTTATTTTTATTTGAGTATTTATATATATTTTTATTTATTTATAATTTATAATTATATTTTTTAATTATATAATATTAATTACGACATCACGGTTCGACCGGTTTGACCCGACGGTTGAACCAGTGACCCGTCCACCAGGTCTCTTTTCCGGTTCGCTCACCGGTCCGGTTTTCAAAACATTGTGCGATAGTTGCGATTTTGTGATACACTCAAGATGTGCCTTCTTGCCACATACAGTTAAGCACAGAAATGGTGAAATTCCCTTCATTTTAAGCTACTCCAGCAAAGGAATCGACTATTGGACTATCAGTCCACCTCCTTGTGCCATTTGTGGTTGTGCATTATATAGTCAAATGTTGGACCGCTGGTTTTATAGCTGTGGTGGTAAGTCCCACAAATATGCTCATACAATATGCATTCAAGTCGATGAATATCCAAATATCAAGATTGGGGACAAGCTCAACGTTGGGGGTCACCCACACCTTCTCACTTATGTTGAAGACCTTAAGCATATCTCCTCGTGCAACCGTTGTGGTAAACTTGCTGGACATTATTGAGGACATGAAGGTAGAAATGATGGATTTGAATGCGGAACTTGTAATTTTTGGCTTCACTTTGATTGTGCTCGTAATGTAGCGAACCAGAGGATTTTAGAACTGCAACAAATGGGTAAGCTAAAGTGGCTAGACCCAATTGATAGAAAATTTCGCATCTCACCGCGATTAGCCCCTGCTGGAGTATCGATTGAAGAGTTGCTATCTAGTAACTAAGCGTGTGGGTTGAGGTCAGTAAATTGGAATTGAAAGGTCATAATTTGATAAAAACAGCCCAACTAATGAAGTCGTACGGGTTCTGGGTTGTTTTAAGAGTTATCTAGCATTGTAAATAAGTGGCAAGCTTTAAAGGTTACTCATTTTTTTTTGGTGAGAGTTCTCACATTTCTATTTGTCCCATATTATTCTTATGGATAAAAAAAAAAATTGAAAATTAGATGATATATTTTTAAAAATACAATTGAAAAAAAAATTTTTTTTTTTTTTTTTTTTTTTTTTTTTTTGCGACAAACGCAATAAATTGAATAGATTACGATTATCAGATCAATTTAATTTTTTTATGAATTAAATATATAAAACGCTTGACAAAACGAACAATTTGAATTATCAAAACGGAGCCATGTTGAATCCCATGGGCCTTAATGTTGGGATTTGAACACGTTCAATTGTTAAACCCTATGGATCTTGGAAAAAATTATGAATCACAAAAAAATAAATAAATAAAATAAAATAAAATAAAATTGAAAGAACACACAAATATACAAGGTTCAGCAACATGGCCAAGTCCTCGGTAGCAGCACCAATTCATTATATTGATTATACAATTATAATCACTCTTCCTTGCTATTTTATTCTCTAAAAACTACAGGAGCCTCTCTTTTTCTCTAATCCTAAAAACGTGAACAATGTTACATTGTATAGGGTAAAGCTTGTAGGTCCAAAACTAAAAATACATGACCCCAAAAAATTGGACGGCTTGAATTTTCTACTGAAGGTTGTCTGCATATCCAACACATAACGACACTGTCTAATCCACAAAGTACACAGGAGAGAGCTGCCTCCAAGATATAAAACTCACGCATACCACGTGGTGCAAAAGATACCCAGTTGGTTTAAGTAAGTTTTATTTTGTCAGTAAGTCTGGTCTGGAATTTCTTGATTACATATTGATATTTTTAAATAGTGTTTTGAGTAAAATTTATTATTACTATTATTATTCATGATTAAAAGTGCAATCAAACAGAATCTACATGAGAAATGAAATACTATTTTCGAAAAGGTGGCATGGGAATCCCTTTATCCTCTAGTGGGATTGGAAAAAGATGATCATCATATAGTAATTTAAATCATCCACAATTTCTCAAAAACACAATCTGACTGTGTTTTCAATCCTCTCTTAGCCTACAAGACACTTGTCGCCGGCCGGTGCCGCCATGATTGGTCAGTTTACTCTCTCTCTCTCTCTGTATATATGTGGTTGTGGGTTCTGAATTACATATTCTTTGAAGAAAGTTTTCAATAAATAAATTAATCTGCTGAATAAATTAATCTGCCAATTCAGCAGAGTTCTTAAAACCTGGTAGCCTTGAATTGAAGTTTTGGCTGTGATAGCCTATGTATGTATAATATATATTTTTTTTATAGGGCTATGCTTGTAAAATTGAAAAGTTATCATCCTATCACTATCATCTACTTTCTGATTTGGTCCTTCTAGAATTGTGATCGAAAAAAAATCACGTACAAAATAAACGATTTAAATTATTGAAATGATTAAATTTTCCTAATTTAAATTTAAACATGAGAGAAATCTAACTCTCATATATTGATATTGTTTGTAAAATATTAATTATGCTAGTTTTTGGGAGAAAACACATTAATACATTAAACAATATATTTTTAGTACATATTAACAAGGAGTGATGTTGTCACTAAAAAAACAAAACAAAACAAAACAAAAAAATAGGGGTCATGTTGTGCTTGCCCCTTGAATGGAGATGTTTTAGACACTTCGACATTCATGCCAGAGGCCCGAATTTCATTGGTTCCTTCAATTGTTGCCAGTTCAGTTGATTAGTCTGTTCAATCGTGGGTTTGGCCGGTTTAATCAAAAGAAGACGGTTTTTAATTCAGAATAGGTTTATGGGTGTATCTAAATAGGTCAACGGGTCAATTAGTCAAACTGGCCTGTGCAGTGTGATTTTCAAAACATTGGTCACAACTTCCATGGTGCTATTAATGCTTAGTTGAATTTTCATTGAACAATTTGTTAAGTCAAGCACAAAAGGATTGATCATTCAAATTTATTAACAGAACCACTAGTTTGACAGTTATGTTGTTCATTGATTTCAGTTCTGCTACCACTTTGATTCGAGATTTGTTCAGAGAGAGATGGAAATTGAACACTTTAGTCATGAACATTTATTGATCCTTGAGGAAGAGTACAACGATGATGCCTTGGAAGTCACATGCTATGTATGTCAGCAACCAGCCTCTGGTGCTTGTTACAAGTGCAAACATTGTAAGAATTTCTCCTTGCACAAAGTTTGTGCAGAATTACCTAGAGATGGAACATCCTATACATGCTCAACACCCTCTTGTTTTGCTTCTAAATCCCCCTCAGTTGGATTGCGAATGCAGTGCTTGATAACGGCCTTATGAGGGCATCACCTTCAGTTGTTCCCATTGCAAGTTCTATCTTGATGTATTGTGTGCTTTGATGGCATGGAAGATTGAACACAAATGCCACAAACACCCATTGACTCCCCTTCAGAGGCCAACTTTGTTTTTGTGCGATGCTTGTGGCACCAGACATGAAGGCACATCCTATGAAAATACCACTTGCCAATTCTGGGTCAACCAAAAATATTCTTTATTACCCGAGCACCATTAATTATAGTGACAACCATCTCCTTCTTAACCTCACCTATTCTTTTCTTTATGAACATTTCAGATTCACGTCCTATTACAAAATCTGCACTAAAAACATTGAGAGAGCATACTGGGCTTATTATTGTGCCCAATGCAAATATTTTGCCCATGTAAATTGCTTGACATCGAAGGCAAAGCTCTACAGATTTGACCTTTTAGCTTCATTTTTTTTTTAAAAACCTATTTTATTGTTGTTGTATTTACTATTATTTGATTTTCATTCTTAATTTTGTCATCTCAATGATTGCGAAACAGAACAAATAGACCAAGAAACAGCATCTGGAGTTGAAGAACTTAAGCCCAATTTCATCACCTTGCCAATGCTTGATGTTTCTATTAATTTGGTAACACGTTCGATGAAGAAGATTGGCATACAGAGGAGGTGAAAGAAAAAGATTTACCGTGCTAATCATCACCATCCATTACTTTTTGTTGACAAGAAATCAATGATGAATCATGCTCCCATTGCATGTGATGGACGCACACCACCAATCTTAGCTCCTTTTTATCGTTGCACTAAATGCAAATTCATTCTCCATGAATGTTGTGCCAAGTTGCCCTCCAGGATGAAACACCTGATTCACCCATACCACCTGCTTATATTGAACAGATGGCAGTCCAAATATCCTGATATACCACTCATGTGCCATGCATACGAAATGTCTTGCAATGGGCTTTTGCTTGGTTGTGTATCTTGTGATTTCTTCCTTGACATTACCTGTGCTTCCATCCTACTAGGCATTATCATGCATAATACTCATCCGTACTTGCTCACCCCATCGGAAATAGCAATTGGTATATGCATTGCATGTCATAAAAGAATTTCTGGGTACGGTTTAGTATGTGACATTTGCAATTTCAAGCTACACACTCAATGTGCCTTGTTGCCTCTTACAGTTAGTCACAGATATGACACCCTTTCTTTTACGGGATTCTGGCAATGAGGATGAATACTGCTGTTAAATTTGTGAGGGAGAAATAAACCCAAATTGTTGGTTTTACCATTGTGGTGACTGCAATCAGGATCTTCATACAGAGTGTATTCGCCTGGTTAATTCCCTACAACAAGAAGTTTGACATGAATCTTATATGCACACTCTTGTTCCAAAGGAAATGAGCAATGTTCTTTGTACTGCATTTAACTATCCTTGTTCTGAGCTTGTATGTGACAGTTGCAATTTTGTTCTACACACTCAATGTGCCTCGTCGCCACTGGCCCAGAAAGTCTCCAACTGCAACAAATTCAGCTTCTTTCTAACCTATTCCACAAATAAGGATGAAATTTTTGTGACGTGTGCAACAAAGAAATAAATCAAAAGTGCTGGTTCTGTCACCACAGTACTGAGTCTGACGATAACGACGACCATGACAACAGTGATTCCCTTAATTCGAAATGCCTTTTATTAGTTGTAGCATTGGGTATGGAGAAAAAAGCCTGGGTTGGATGCCACCCACACGACCTCATTGTTGTTGACTTCCCCTAGCATGATTCCTCATGCAACCTTTGCGGTGAACATATCTTAAAATTTATTAAATGTGTACTTTGTGATTTTAGTTCACACCAAAGTTGTGTAGCATGGACGCAGCTAGGCCCAGTCGATATTGGCAATTCTTCATAAAATGGCCCAAAATTGCTGCTACAAGATGTTATTGTACCACTTGATGGCCACACTGTTGAGTTTGACACACTGGTGGACCCAAGAATACAACCTTTATTGATAACACTCTAGCACAATCACACACTAATACACTTCACTTATCCACTCACACATACGTTCAAGCACGCACACTTTATATCTTCTTTATATCTTCCTTACACAAGACCTTGAGATACCTCACACTAGATAGTGCTTGACCACTCACTTTGGACTCACTCTTCTTTCACTTAATTGTCCAATTGTCCAATTGCTTAGTACAGGCATTCATCTCATATTTATACTAGTTAAAGAACTTTCTAGAATACACTCATATTTTCCCTACACTCTAGAACAATCTAGATTACTCTAGTATATATTAGAGCTTTCTATTTTTCTCTAAAATATTCTAGAACCTTCTGGAACTTTCTAGATTTCTCTAATTTTTTACAAACTTCTTTAATGTTCTAGAACCTTCTAGGATATTCTAGAATCTTCCGGATTTCTCTAGGTCTTTCCAAAATCTTCTAGATCTTTCCGGAGTATTCTAGATTCATGTAGAAACTTCTAGAATATTTTAGAGAGAAGATTCTAGAGAGTGAGGAGAGTTAGTGATGACTCTCAACACTTACCCTCAACACTAACTTTCATTTTTGGATTATGTAACTATGCCACGTTGTTTCAGAAACTCTTTGTGAGTATATCTGCACCCTGGTCCCCTGCCACCTGGTCCTTTGCCATGATAAACTTTGTCTCCATCTCTTCTAATATTGACTTCTTTCTTTTGAAGTGATTTATTCTTCCATGGAACACCACGTCCTTGGCCAGTTGTAGGATTCTCATCCTTCAATTTAGATAGTGAGTGCCACGTTTGAATATGTGTTGATGCATCAATGTCTTCTTTTGTTGTCTTCCTCCAATTGTTAAATTTTGTTATTTCCTGAAATGTTATTGACTCATTTGTATCATCCATTTTAGCAAAGGTTGCATCAACATACCTTGGACTGTGTTGACATTGTCTTGTAGATATTGATTACTGTAGCTTTATCACTTTTTCAACTTTTTCTTCTTCTGTTTGCTCCCTCAACTTCTCTGGTAGGTGAGCTTCTGGATCTTTAAATGTTAAAGACTAAGACTCAATTGCAAGAATCTACTCATCTATGATAGAGTGTGCATACACTTCCTTAGTAACTGCATTGCACTGCTCATCTATGCCTTCATCGAAGTCTATCTCCTCTTCTGAATCAGCCTCAGTAACCACGAACATTGTAGGAGATACTTCAAAATCTCATTCTTCTTCAAATTCTGGCTCTTCTTCTAAGTAACCTGGTTCCACGGTCTCGAACATTGCACATGAAGCTTGGAAATCCCATTCTTCTTCACTCTCATCTTGGTAACCATTAGATGTTACCATATTACCTTCAATTAGTCTTCTTTTTTACCGACAATCTTTTGCATAGTGGCCAATCTTGCCACATTTGAAACACTCTATGTTGCGTCATCCAAATCTAGTAGCTCTTCGATCATTTTCATCATGTCGAACTCCCCCTCATTGATAACTTTGATCATCTTGTGATTGTTCATCTTCTTCTTTCTTTGATTTTCCATATTCTTGCCACTTCAGTCCATCTCTTCTCTTAATACTGAATAATGCCTCTTCTTCACTTTCATTCTTTAGTGTGACTCTAGCCATTTGCTTTGCTAGAGTTTCTTGATTCGCTAATAGACTTTCGAGCTCGACCAGTGATGGTTGAGTGGACCATCTTCTAACAATGGCCATAAGCCCATTATACTCGGGCCTTAAACCTCGAGTAATAATGCGCCTCATTCTTAACTTGCTAATTTTTGACTCGGGATCAAGTTATGAAATTTCATTGCAAAGAGTTTTTACCTTGAGAAAATATTGGCAGAAAGTCATTGATCTTTATGTCACCGTTACAAGCTCGTTCTCTAGATACTGAAGTTGTGTATCATTTGTCTTCGAAAATAATGCCGGAAATGTGTCCCAGACTGCTTTTGGAGTAGTGTAGACACCCCATTTTTGACCGCCCTTAAGACTTGGGCGTCTCAGATTGATCACTCGATGATGAAAGTTATGTTGTACAAACGTTCGATTTCTTTAGCAAGAAGAGCTTCTAAATCCCAACCTTATACCCCATTTTGGACCAAAACTATTTTGACCAAAACTATTTTAGACATTAAAACCCTCTTTTTTAAAATATTTTTCCAAATGTTTCTACGATGTTCTGAGGCTCGCATTTCGTTTAAAATATTGCACTTTGCGGTAAACCGAGTAAGGACAAAGTGGAAATAAATGGAAGGGAGATGAACTCTTTGAAAAATCTTTAAAACCTCTTATTTATAGGTTTGGAGTTGAAGAAAATTAGAGGAGAGGGAAGAAAACTAGTTAGGAAAGAAGTTGGGCATCAATCCGTTAGGATAAAAATGAGGAGTCTTCACTAAAATAGGCATATCTCTTTACACACTTAGCATTTATATGTGAGGCCACCACCATTGGAAATTAAACTTCTGGGGCTTCAATTTAGACTCAAGAATGACCTAAAAATAAGTCCAAATGAAGAAGATATGCTCGTTTGAAGTCGGACTTGGAATCATATTTTTGTTTGCCCGGACAGTAGTGGCCTGCCGCCCACTTGTGTAAAAAACCATATATTTTTGCCAGCTGTCTCTACAGATGCATGCACCACTCCAACTATCTCTATATGGATATTTTCGATATATCAACCTATGTTTCTATATATAGAAGACCTCCCCTTATGTTTTTAAGGTTACAAAAAATTCCGAAAGCCCCAAAACTTGAAATTCTCTCTCTATCTCTATCTTGCAACACACACACCTTACCCAAACACTTTCTAAACCAATATTGGAGCTCTCATTGCTTCGCGCGCCTTAAGTTGGTAGCGCAAACACAATCTCCGAGAGCCGAAAAACGCACAGCGCTACAGAGGTTATGCAGATGGTCTTTTCACAACACCATCAGCCACGTACGATGGTTGAACGTACCCTTCACCGCGGAAGGGGTAGCAGTCGGGGAATTCATCCAATCCATCACCGCAACAGGAAGTGTCCACACCAGTATGGAAATCGAGCATTCCCCTGCAAGGCAAACTTGGACGAATTCGGCGTGTCTCTTATCGGTCCATGGCCAGGTTTTTCACTTTTTGGCTAGAGGTCTCAAGTAAATGTTGTGTACCTATGTCATATTTGGATCGCGCTGTCGCAATATGAGAATGGGGGTTACGCTCGTAGCCTCCGCTCGACATCCGCTACCTCAAATGAACAAAAGGTTTTTACATACACGCAACTGGGAATTACATGCTATCCCCGCACGGATGGGAATTGGGAAGAGGTGAATCCTCTCAACAAGAACAACGAGGAGGGATCTCTCCTCTTCTCGTCTTAGTGTTGCACAGAACGAATCAAACCGAAGCGGTGGAATTTCCCGATTGAGGAAAAGAGAGAGATTCCTTCGCCAATCCCATTCCGTGGGATTGTGTTGTTA